AGGGTTGTTTTAAGGATCAAATGAGATACCAATTGTAAACACTTAGTATAGTGCCTGGCACATGGTAAACATTATATAAATGTTAGCTATTGTTGTTGAGAGGTTGAAATGAGAATACACATACACGCATATTGAAAACTTTAAAATCCTATGTAAAAGTGGCAGCAAGGTGGTGCAGTGAATAGAGCACCAGCTCTGGAGTCAAGAAGGCCTGAGTTCAAATCTGGTCTCAGACGCTTGATACTTACTAGCTGTGTGACCCTGGGCAAGTCACTTAACCCCAACTGCCTTGCCAAAAAAAAAATGCTATCTAAAGGTTAATTATCATTATGCTATTATTGTTGTATTTGTGAATTCACTTAGCCTGTGAATATTATTAGTGAGAAAGTTTTAAATTTCATTCTGGATGATCATATACATTTGAGATTTTCATGACCTTGCACTAGAAAGGCCTATGTGAAATTTATCTATCAGTCAGTCAGCTGTGTGACCCCGAATATAAAGAGAATATGAGGCTACATGGTATAGGAGAAAGAACACTATGCCAAAGGTTAAGAAAATCATGTGTTACTTCAGCTTTGTCTTTATGAATTGTGTAATTATCTTAGACAAATCACCTCTTGTCTTACGTTCTAACAACTAGGGCAGTGGTGTCCAACTCCAACAGAAACAGAGGCCACTATACCATACATAAGGAATCCCTGTGCATGCAAGTTGACTTAGAAAACCATATATTAACATGGTTACGCTATGTTTATTTATTTTAAAAAATATTTCTTAATTACATTTTAATTTAGTTCAGGCCATACTTGAGAGTTTTGTTAGCTGAGTAGCCCACAGTCTATGTGTTTGACACCCTTGATCTAGAGAATAAGATAACTTGGGATACTCCACTAGAGCTGTAATGATCAGATGTAAACTTTTAAAATTGCTTATGTGTAAGGAATTCTTACTGTTATCAGCCTTATCCTATTAAAATGGGTAAGTCTGTGTCCTTGGACATTATAAAAGTTCTCCTCTATAGAGATTTGCTATTCATGGAAGGTCAAGGTTAAGTTCTAGGAGCAAAGAAAAAGGACTTTTGTTCAGATCTCTTATAGAGATAAAAGAGGGAATAAATGAATATACATATAATCCTTTAGAGAAACCTCTTATTGAGCAAAAGATAAGGCATAGGACCATGATTCCTATGTGTGGACAGACCCTGAAGCCAGTACTCTCTGCACTATACCACAAAAATAAGAATCAACTTTTCAATAGTGATCCCCCATATAGCTCTGAGACATTGCTACATGGTGACTAACAAGGTAGAAAATTCACAGCTTGCCAAGAAGAGTTCATACATAGCCCAGGAAATGAATTTAGCCCCCAAATACTGACTCAGGAGATAGACTCTTGAGGAAACATGAGATGCTTGTTGGCACCATTGAGAAATGGACCTTAAAAGGAAGAATATTATCCAGAACTGGCCCACTGTCACCTTCTTCAACAACTGGGAGGAACCAAGGGTCCCAAGTGGAAAAAAAGTTTAGGAAAACTCAACTGTTGGCTTCCAAAGTAATTTTCAACCAAAATTGGAACAGATCTCAAATGTTCCCTGGACTTAATGCTGTTTAATACAGACGAACAATGAGCAGGAGAAAGGAAGTAATAAAGGAGAGTGAGGCTATAAAAGATGATTTATGGTGGAGAGGAAGTCCTGAGATCAGAAACTTGTATGAATACCAATCATAGACCCGTCTGGAGACAATCCAAAGATGAGATCAAAAACGTAAAATGAGAAGGTTTCTGAGGGATATTAAAATTTGTAAAAGGAGGTAATACTTATTTTTGGCTAGAAATGAACAATTGAATAGTTGACCAAGTTGAATAGCTATATAACAATGGCGACCTTTTTATTTTATTCATTTTTTTCAGCTGTCATCAGCCCCCAAACACCCAAATATACTGTTTCTTTCATTTATTTCTTGCTATTAGTAAATTACTCAGTGGGTAAAATGACTGGAAGAGATGCTCTTGTTCCGATAGATTATTCCATTTCAGGTATCAAGTCCTCTCATTTTAAGAACTTGGATTTAGGTTTTAACAAGGGAGTCACACCACTGCCAAAACAGATTTTATGCACATACAAACACATACACATGTATATATGTGTATATATACAAATTTATAATACAGTTTGAAATACGATATAAATACATACACATACACACAAATACATATATATGTATATACGTATGTATATACACACAGAGGGAATGAAACTCAGTGGTTCAGTTACGGATTAGATGTCTTTGGTTGGAGGCCTAGCTCTACTATTAATTTACCATATGTTTTAAACCAGTTCCATCGTGGCTGGGAGCCCATCCAGCTGTGAAACAGTGATAATGCATGTATCCCTTCTACCCTGCCCATCCTTGGAGGGAGGCTCCACAGGCAGTCAACAAACTAAGCCAGTGAACTTGAAACAAAACCAGAGACATTGAGCCACACCTATCACATTCCTTTTAATTTTGGCAAAAACAAAAACAAAACAGAAGAAATATATATTGGACACAGCTGACATTAAGGTTTTGGTCAAAAATATTAGTACACTCAAAAAAAGATTTAAAGAAGATCAGTTTCGGACATTCATACTAGATTATTAGAGATTTTATCCAACCCAACAAACATTTGGTAGACACCTATTACATGCCAAGCGGTGTAGGTGTGTTCAGGGAAGACTAGTAGCTCTGGTGTAAGGGCTGCTGAACCCTGTTGAGGGTTGTTTTCTACATTTGGTGTCCACTCGATCCACCCAGCTCTTACCTATGGCACCAAGACGCTATAGCACTTTCAGTGGCCACAGCCAGGTAAATCGTTTCAGCAGATAGGTTAAATCAAGTTGACAGTAACTGAGGAGTCTTACACTATTTGGTGACTTAGGGGAGTTATCTACCCCAAACATGTAAAGATTTCCTCCACTAGAATGAGCAAATGAGAACAATTTGTTTCAACAGCCATGATGGTGACTGAAGCAGGCACTGTGGAGCACCTAGAGCTTAGACATTAAAGACTCCAAGGCCATCTGCTGCATCCTCAGTCGTCACCAGTCATCTTGACTTTGTCTTGCCACTGGCCTTTGATGACTCTGGAAGAGACAGTGAAGCCAATGATTTCATGCAACTTTGTCTCACTTAAATCTAATTTATGCTCAAATCAAAAAATATCACCCTACCATTTTACCATTTTTACCTATCTCAAAGTCCTGTGGCAACAGGTAAGTGGTGAAGTAGCAGATGTGGATACACTGGGAGCTGTAGTCACAACTCTGCACACCGATGGCCCAGGTCATAGGGTCATCTCACTGGAAGCAGCAATGGGATTCGGCAGCCCTCTAGGTGTCTGAGCAGCTTTTTTTAAAGAACCCACTGCTCACCTCCTGGTGTGAGGAAGGTACTAGAAAAGGTGCCCTAAAATTGTCTGCTTCACCCAAACCTGTCCTGCTTACTGCAGCAGGCGAGGATCCCATCCTGTGGGCAAAACACACACACAAAAATATACAAAACCTTTTGCTGAGATGATTACATTCATTAACAGTACATGAAATGTGCACATACTTATGGACAGCATGAAATTCAGTAGACCTGAAAGACAAACAGCTCTTGTTGAGAGAGAACTCAGCAGGTTCATCCAAAACAAGACTGGCAAATTAAGGCCAGCATACCAAGGTTGGAGATGGATACATTTTTCTGGAATGACCACAGTAAAGGGGAGACCATGAAGCTGGTGTGGGTATTGAAATCAAAACTAATCCAGTCAACAAGCTTGTGTGCCTACTAAATGGCAGATTCATGACAATATGATTTCCACTTACAGGAAAGCACCATCATCAATATGTATGCTTTTACTTTGACAAACCTAGATGAGGTCAAAGAAAAATTTTATGAAGACCTCGAGACTCTCATCATAGATGTACTGAAAGAGGACAAGCTTATAATTTTGGGTGACTTTAATGCCAGAGTAGGCACAGACTACCAGCCATGATAGGGAGTCTTTGGGAGGAAGGGAGTCAGAAACAGCAAGAGCAATGGTCACTTATAACTGAAGACTTGTGCATCTCATGACCTTCTCATCACCAACACTGTCTTCCATGTACCTAAATGCCATAAAAATTCATGGATGTACCCTTGCAGCAAACATTGGCATTGTAAGGAGAAGAGACAGACAGGATGTGAAAATGACGAAGGTGATATGCCATGCAAAGTGCTGGAGTGATCATAGACATCCTTTCCAAGTTAAACATTTGCATTCAACAGTGGCAGCCCCAAGGCAAGAGCTAGTAGTGGTATTGTCATGTGTAATGGTAGCCATCTCTGGGTGAGAGAGGAGGAGGGAAGAAAAAAAGTTGCATGATAACTTTGTATATTTCAAGGAAATATCAAATTGTGCATAATAGGTTTGTAGTTTCATGTGCAATCATATTTTTCCCTATTCTACTATGTTATAGAAATGCTTGTTTTATTTCTTAATTTCAGAATAAAATAAATAAAATATAAAAACATAAAATCCTCGGATTAATTTGAAATCTTTCTATTGGGCTAATTTGTGAATTGTTCAAGGTAGGCACTTAATACATTTAAAATTGTAATTGAATTGAATTATCATATTTATTCATATAACCTGGCATCAAAAGACTTGGATACAAATCCCACCTTTGATGCTCATTATTGGTATGACCTTCAGCTAGTCACTTAACTTTCCTAGACCTCAGTTTCCTGATCTATAAAGTGAAGGTATTGGACTAAATGACTTCTGAGCTTCTTTGCAGCTCCAAAGCTATGACCCTATGATCTCTCCTCCCCCAGCCCCCACATAAATATGACATTTAAAAATGTTATTTGCTGTTAAAACAGGAGCAGATAGCAAGGGACTGTCCTGATATGCTGGTTCAGCATTCCTTTTGGCAGAAGCTCTGAAGACTTGACCAGAGCGCTCCTTCACTGTTTACACCTCTTTAACAACTATCCCAATTACTTGGTTGTTAGCAATTCTCCGACTGCTGGGACAAGGCTGTGACTCATTTTGATGCTGACAACCAATGCAGTCTGCCAAAAAGAGAAGAGGATAGAGAGAGAAGGCAATTACACATTTCCTCCTCAGAATGCAAACAATTCAGTTTATGTAGAATCCCTAAATCCTTTGGATACTTTCTGTGGTAGAGGCATGACCACAATTGGCTTAATTGCAAATAAACAAATATTTATTGAGAACTTGTTTTGCATAGGACACTGTGCTAGGTATTGGGTATCATACTAGTCACTGATAGCAAGTTTTCATTAAATATTTACTGATCCTCTACAGCAGTGGTATCAAACTCAAATAGACATGTGGCCACTAAACTATACATAAGAATCCCTTAGGGCCTCATATTGACTTCAAAAACCACACATCAATTTTATCTAAGTTTGATTGTATTTTTATTGTATATTGTTAAACTTTCTTAATTATATTTTAATCTGGTTTGGGCAGACCTTCAATTTAATAAGGCTAGCTAGCTCTTTTTGTTTTTCTTTTTACTGGCTCTGTATTCATCTGAGGTATTGACTCCATGTTAATCATTTTTCCCCCTTGTCATTTTCAGTGACAATGTAATTCCTTGAAGAAGGAAGAGAAAGGGAATGAATTGAACAGGTCTACTTTCTCTCTGTTCTCAGTTATTGTTGTATCATTTCTTCCCAAACCAAAAGTCCTTTCCCTTCTTTGATCCTTCTTTTTCTCCCAACATGGTTAAAAATCGAAACAAAACAAAACAAAACAAAGGAAAGCAACCTACAAAATCTTTTGTTGTCCTTAGCTTCCCTTACCAGCTTCAGATCATTCTGGGATTTAGCTTCCCTGACGCTATTTTTAAAGGACTACACCATAATTACATTTATCCTCTATTACTTGTTCTTGATTCCATGTTCTGTATATTTCCTCTAAAATCTAAGTTGGGTGATGAGTTCCTTTTGTATCCACAGCAATCCTTTCAGATGAATACATTTTCCCCTCTATACTGGAATTGTCTTCCTTTATGTTTTCAGAATTTCATGCCTGAATATCTTCCATCTTTGACTTCCCCTGAAGCATTTTAGTTCAAGATATCCTACTTATTATTCCTCCGAACCCTTTGAAATCTGCTTTCCTAAAATCTAGGGTATATGTCAGACTTATGGTCATTTTCCCACAAGATTCCCATCATTTCCATTCCAGTAACCAGTTTCTAACTGTTAGTGAGAATTAGATCCAGAACTACATTTGCCCATGCTGTTTCCTTCACCTTTTGAAGAATAAAGTGATTAATAAAGTAACTCAAGAATTGTTAGGACCTGCTTTTGGTAGAGGGAGAACTCTAGGAGATGACTGGGTAATTCAACTTTCCCATTACTATCGTATCATGCCTCTGTATTTGGCATAGCATGCCATGCTTGTGATCTATTTCTCAGATTCGTAGTCTATTTCCTATTTCTCTCCATTTGGTCTGTAGAATATTCCAAATACAAAATGACTTCTGTTTCTCCCTCCTTTGACCTCCATCTAAATATTGTCCTTCATGCTCCCCTCGTCTAGTTCCTGGATTCCTCAATTAAGTATTCCTTATGCAATGCTTCCCGACCCCCCGATCCTATTTCTTCTGAATAAGGCATATACTTCCAGAGTCATTATCTGGTCATGGGTTTGACCCCATCAAGACTTACCTATGAAGTAAGATTTGCTGACTTGCTTATGACCTCTAGTTCCTTTCATTTGTTCACTAAACTTTGGGTTTGTGGGTATAGAGACTTGAGGTCCTGGTTTTTTCTAAAGTCTACTTCCTTGAATTTTTTTCTCTTGTGAATTTGTGGATGTCTCAGTTCTTTCTTTGTGGCTAATCTCTAATTTGGAGGAATCTACATAAGTAGAATTTCCCCTCTAAATCTCTTTTAATTTAAAGTCCTTTTGATTATATTTGTAAGACCCTTGGAAAATATTTAAAATTTAATTTTCAGCTCTGAATTTTCTCCCTTCCAGCTCCCCCTCCACTTATTGATAAAGCAAGAAAAACAAAACTTTATACATATATAGTGAAGAAAAAAAAATTAGCCATGTTTACAAAAATGTCTTATTCTGTACTGCAAGTCTATCACCTCTCTATCTACAGGTGGATAGCATGTTTAAATCATGAGATCTCTGACATTTTGGTTGGTTGTTGTGTTCATCAGTTACTAAGTTTTTCAAAGGTGTTTATCTTTACAATATCATTGTTATTTTGTAAATGATTCTTCTGGTTCTGCTCACTCCATTTTGCATTAGTTTCGCAGACACCACTCCTTTATCATTTCTTACACTTCACACTAATAAATTGTAACTTGTCCAGTCATTTCCCCAATTGATGGATTTCAGTTTCCTTCAGTTTCCAATTCTTTGTCAAATACATTCTTGCCAACATTTAGTAGATGTATTCCATCTATAGCTAGGAATCCACCAACCCAACATAGTAGACTTTGATCCAGAAGTCTAAATCTCATTCTAAGACATTATCTTCTTAGCCACCTGTTTACTTTACAGATTAATTTGTCTCATCTGCCCCCCCCCTGCTTCCAATGGGCAACGATAAGGAAAACACAAACTCATGTTCTATGGTTTTCATTTTTGTTTTGCCCAAGACTTCATAGTCATTGTCAATATTTGTTGGGTTCCTCAAAGTGTCATTTGTGTTCTCATGAATCAACAGAAGTGGGTAATTGTCACGTCTTTTGATAAATCTTGGGAAGTTCTTTGTTATGTTTTTCGTATATACCTCAAGAAGACAACATATATTTCTACTGGGTAATGTAATGGTTAGACTGCTGGACCTGGAATTTTCAAGACAAGAATTCAAATGTATCCTCAGATATAATCTATCTGTGTGACCCTGGACAAGTCACTTAACCTCTGCCTGCCTAAGTTTCCTCAGTTGTAAAATGGGGATAATAATAGTACCTACCTCCCAAGGCTGTTGTGAATAGCAAATGATATAATATTTGTAAAGCACTTTGTGACCTTTAAAGTGTTATATAAATGTTAACTATTATTATTGTTGCTGTTGTTGTTATGACAAACAATTGCCAAAGTATTTGCTCTTTTCTTTCTCCTCTTCTCTTTAGTGGATCGCCCTCATCTCCACTGCCACCTCCCTAGTCTTTGCCCTGTTTAGTCTATGTCGTATACACTCTCGCTGAAGCTCTTCTGTATGTCACTCTTCCCTCACAGGTTTAGCTTTGGCTCCTCCTCAAGCATCTTCCTCTGGGTCCTGAGTGCCTGTATTCTTGATTGTTCAGTCTCGTGTTATGGCTCAGTGGGTCTCAGGAATTATGCAGGCTCTCTAGAAGAAATATTTTGCCGATCTGACAATGTCAAATTGGTGGGTTGTTTCTGTATTTCTGAAACTTCTGATGACTGACCACTGAGGTGGTTTGCTTCCCTTGGCTTTTACTAAAACTACACTTACTTCAGCTTTTGTGGCTGAGGGAGTTGACAGGGATTCAGGATGGGGGGTGGAAGAGGCTACACAGGCTAGTTTGTTGACAGAAGGACATTTCTTAATGCATCAGGGTTTCACCCTGTCAGGCACAGTTTTATGCTTGTGGATTATTCTAAGTCACTGTGAAATCCAGAGAAGAAGGTCTAGAACAGGGGCATCATATCTAACATGAATTATCCATGCATGATTTCCTTCTTATGTTCAACATAAATGGACCTGAGATTTCTGCTTCCCCGCTGAAAAGTATGTGAAGCTGTTGTGTAGTACATAGAATGCTGCATCTGGAGTTCAGAAATTTGGATAGGAGACTGCTACTTAGCAGCTGTGTGGGCAGATCTTTTATACCCTCTGGTCCTCATTTCCCTCATTGGACCAGAGCATAGGATCATAGATAAGCCAGAAGAGACCTCAGAAGCAATTTAGTCTAATTTTATCATTTTACTTACAAGGAAACTGAGGCCCAGAAAGTTAAGTGGCTTACCCAAGCTCACACAAGTAGCATGCATCAACATTGTACCCAGTAATAGCAGTATTGTAAGGATGATCAACTGTAAAAATCTTAGCTACTGTGGTCAAGACAATGATCCAAAACAATTCCCAAGGATCCATGATGAAAAATGCTTTTCACCTACAGAAAGAGAACTCTGAGTTGAACTCTGAGCACAGACTGTAGCATACTTTTTGGTGCATGTTTTCTTTTGTAACATGGCTAGTATGGAAATATGATTTGCATATCTTCATGTGTATAAGTAATATAATATTACTTGCCTTTCCAAAGGGTGAGGGAGGGGCAGGCAGGAGGGAGAGAATTATTTAAAGAATGAATATTAACAATTTTTGCATGTTATTGAGAAATATTTAATGACAAATAAAAATTAATAAAATATTATAGTATTAAATTATATAATTTTTACAAATTATATTCATACTATAAAATTATGTTTATAATTTTATAATTATTAAATATTGCTAAAATACCAAAATTAATAAAATTATATCTTTAAAAAGCAAGTAGTATTCACTAGTCAGGATTTGAACCTGAACTCTGTACCTCCTGAACCAGTTGTCTTTGTACTGTGTAATGCTACTTCCTTATCGTCTATTACTTCCCTTCCAATTTTTATATTTTAGAATTCTGTTAAAAATACATTGGTTTTGATGTGCTGACTTTGTGTTTAAATTGAGAGCAATGTAAAGGAGGTATGTTATCCGCCAAGAAGAAGGATTAGACATTTTTTCTAATCCTCATGATCTCTCACATCTTTCCAAAATAGGAATTATGTATAAGAGATAAAGCAATTTCAGCTTCTCCATAGCCTGAGATTCCATCTCAGGATCAAGAAGAGCTTCCTTCAGAAGGTAGGATTTGAGCTGAATCTTGACGGAAGCCAGGAAGCAGAGGTCCTTACCTCTGGTGAGGAAGTGCATTCCAGGTGTTGGGGGACAGTTAGTGAAAAGGCACAGAATTAGGAGACAGTGTCCAATACACTTGTAATATCCAATTTTACAGTAGAGAACACTGAGGTCCAGCTTGGTAAAGTGAATTGCTCAAGGTCACACAGGCAGAAAGTGTTAGAGCTGGGATTTGAACTCAGGATTTTGATTCCTGAGTTAATGTTCTCTCCACTGAAAAACATTGCCTTCCCAAATCACTATTGTTTTCTCCCTTTGTTTCTCATGTGATTTGGCTTATAGGATTCTATAAATTCAGAGTCATAAGGAAAGCCATATAGGCCAACCCTTACCTAAGGAGGAATTCTCTTTCCAAAGTTCTTATCAAGTGGTCATAGAGTCATTTGAAGAACTCCAGGAACAGAAAGTTTGCTACTTCATGGAGCAGCCCATTTCACTCTTGGGCTGTTTTAATCTGGGTGTATTTCCTGAAAAAAAAATCCAAGTTATCCCTTTTTGCAGTTTCCACCTATTACCCTTGGTTCTGAACTCCAAGGCAAGGCAGAACAAATCTAATCTCTTTCACAGAACAGCCCTTTAAATACTTGAAAATAGCAATTATTCCTTTAAACTTTCTCCATTCTAGATTATACGGACACAAATTCTCTTCTTCCCCTTCCTCTATCCCTTCTCTCCTCCTCCAAGCAACTGGCATACTATAGCTACTGAATTCATATTTTCTCATTGATTGTTGTGCTGAAGTATACCAAATGAGAGATAATCTACCAGAAGAGGGATTTCAGCTCAATATAAAGGAGGATTGATTTCTGTTCAGAACAGTCCTGCAATGGAATGGGAGAACTCAGTTTGCCATCTCTGGAGCCATTCAAGAAGAAGTTGGATAATTACTTACCATCGATATTGTGGAGAGAAATTCATACTTCAGGTATGGGTTGGACTAAATGGTCTCTGAGGTAGGATCCTACCAACTTGGAGACTGTGATTCTGAGGAAGCATGGGAAACTGTATTCTAGTATCTTAAGTCCCAGACTGAAACTCTGGGAAACACTTCATCCATAGAGATTTGGATGTGGCCCTTGTTCACTGAAGCTAATTAGAAAGGAAATGTTGTTTATCCAAAGAACTGCCAAGCTTCGTTGCCAGAAAAGCACTAGGCAATTTGTATCCTTTCTCTAATCCATTAAATGAGAAGAGATTACTGGGTTGCTTTGATGCTCTCTGAATTCTGAGACTGAAGTTCTGTGCTATCTTTGGTTCCTGTGTCATGGCCTTGTAAAGAGAAGTGCCTCAGGGAACCAGGAAAAAAGACTGATATTAGAAGAAGCTACTTATTTGCTTGTCAAAGCAACTAAATACATATTAGGTAAGAAACCTCACATCACCCCTTGCCTTTTTCCTTTGAGAAGTCAGTAGAAGTTCTTTTCTGGGGGGGAAATTAGTTTAAAATTTAGCAGAATGTATTAATTATGAGTACTATACTCATCTCTTAAAATGAGTGTCATTTATCTCACATCATTCTAGATGAGCCAGTTTTCTAGATAACTGAAGTATATACTATTAAGCATCAAAACTTTCTTTTCCCCATTTTAGCTGGAAATTGTCCTTTCTAAACACAGGCTGAATACCTTAGAAAGTACATAGCCTTGAATATAGTTAACCCTAGCCTGATTAATCAACCAATCAGCAAGCATATATTAAATACTTATAATATGCCAGGCACTATTGTGTATTAGTGATATAAAGACAAAAATGAAACAGTTCTTGACCTCAAGAAACTTACATTCTAATAGGAGAAACAATCTGTACATATATGTTGATGATCTCTTAGGCATGTTCCGGTTGCAACTCTATGATCTTATAACCCTAAGTCGATGTAAACACATATACAATAAATCAAGATAATTTTAGGGGGGTAAGACATTAGTAACTAGGAGCTAGGGAGGGGGGTACCAAGAAAGGATCCACATATGAGGCATAGTTTGAATTGATCTTTGAAGAAGTTTAGAGATTCTAAGAGGTGGAGAAAGCGCATTTTAAGCACATAGGGGATGGAGATAGGAGATGGAAAATTATATGTGGGGATACCAGATAGTCCAGTTTAGGTGGCACAGGCAGTGAAGGAAGGGGAGTAATATGTGGTAAATCTGTAATTGGGCTGGAGTGGGTTTATAAAGGGGAGAAATGATGACTGTAGTAGTGGGCAAGAGCCCTCAATTCAAGGACAATTCTGTCATCAAGCACTTGTTCACTGTGTGACCTGAAGCAAATTACTTTCCCTCTCTGGGTTTCTTCATCTGTAATATGAGGATAATAAGTTGATGCTTCTCTGACATTTCCACCATACCCTAGGCTAACAAGTACCACATTAAAAAAAATTTTTTTTTCTTGATCTTCAGAGCAAAAACACGAGATATCATGTATAAAGAAAACTACCTCCCTCAACTAAGGACAGAAGGCACAAAAGTTAAAATTTTTCACATTTTTCAGGGCATTGTACTTTCTAGAGAAAAAAAAGACACAGGAATTTTACTTTCAATTTGCAGTAACTAAAAAGCCCAGGAAAGTCTCAGAAACTATAATTTGGCATTCAAAGGTGAACTTTCCCTATATCTCTAATGAAATATTATTTCTTTAAACCTACTCATGATATGGATATGTTGTTGCTGAAATGTATACTCTTTTTTTTTGTTTGTTTTTTTTAGGCAATTGGGGTTAAGTGACTTGCCCAGGGTCACACAGCTAGTAAGTGTCAAGTGTTTGGTCTGAGGCTGGATTTGAACTCAGGTCCTCCTGACTTCAGGGCCAGTGCTCTATCCACTGCACCACCTAGCTGCCCCTGAAATCTATACTCTTGATGGACAAAGATATAAACATCATACTTTCTTTGGCACATTTTGATGAGGAAACTCATTACTGGGATAACTTCATTATCTTGCAAGATAGCATCAGTGTTGGTACTCACACCTCATCACTACCCTTTGCTTCTCTGATTGGCGGGCAGAGCCATGAACTCCAACACCACCAATCAAGGAGGGGGCTCAGGACAGACATCTCCTTATTTCCTACCTGGCTGCACTACTTTGGGACTTCTCCATCATCACCTCACTCAGGAAGCTTTTTAGTTTCTGTCTGTATTTTTCTCCCCAACCCCCCATTGGATTGTAAGCTCCTTGAGAGGTCTTTTGTTTTTTTTCATTTTTGTATCCCTGGCACTTAGCACAGTACCTGGCATATACTATGTGCTTAATGAATATTATTGTTATTAACAATGTTAATGTTATTAACAAAGTTATTTCTGACCTCAAATTAATGTATGTAAGCAAGTTCTAAATCAGTTCATTGGTTATATCAATGATTATTTGAACACTGAACAATACAGTAATGCTCTTGGGTTGACTCAATTGTGTGGGGCTGTTTTCTGGTACACTAAATAGTCCCCACATTACTGAGCTTTTGTTGGTGATTTATTTAGCTCTTCTTTTGATAATTATTTGACACTTGGCAGTATAGCAGCTTCAAACAGCTAAACCCTATTTTCTACTCTGCCTTTATTATGTCTAACATATTGGGTTTTTTTAACTGAAGAAGGGCTAAACATTTTTAGAAGGGACAAAATCACCAAGTTGCTAAATTAGTAGCTTTATTTTACATAAAATTCTAAGTGAGTAGTGTGTTATGGGATAGTGGCTCTCTGCTATATATGGGCTTCATAAGAGATGCTTTCTTCCCTGCTCTGAGTTCTTTGTAGTTTCCTTAAGATGTACGAGTTTTTTGAAAATCTGATGCCAACAAAAGTGGTGTCTTGCATATATTTGTCCCTATGTGGTTTCAGAATTATGTTATAAATAATAATGTCTGTATATAATAATAATAATGTGATTTATTATAATTGCTGTACAAAGGTGCTCCATTCTATATATATAGAAAACTGGAGAAAGGTTACAGTTTCTCCAGAGGTTAAGCAATAAATTGGAGGAGCAAAATAAGGCAGGAGTTAGCTAAGGTAGAAAGGTCAAAAGAAGGCTTTATAAAAAAGAATTAGAGAACTGGACATGTTTGTAAACATATGAGAAGGAGGCAAGCTTTCTAGAGGAGAGTGAAGCTGTCATGGAATTATCTGCTGTGACAGCTACAGAAATGGATTTCCTGAGGAAATGTTTGTGAAGGTTGTTCTCTCTTCAATACTGCTACTCATGATTAGATTTATTGTATAGATTATTGGTGGAAGCTAAGTTAAAAGTTCAGGGTCTCTGTGAGACCGTTTAGCAGAGTAGAGAAAACACAAGATTCTGAATCAAGGACCAATGTATTGAAATTCTTCTAATCCCAGCTCTGCCATTCCCATCTAAAGTTACCTTTGGTGAGTCATTTACCCCCTCTCTCAGTTTCCCTATTTGTAAAATGGGAGTTGGACTATGCAATCTTTGAAGTCCTATCTGACTGAAAATTTTATGAGGCTATAGTCCTCTACTAAATCCACACTCATCTAACACTATTTAGTAGTATGAAAATTGAGCTGAGCCTCCTTGATTGAAGAAGGCTGATTTCCTGAAGACATAGTTATACTATCAGAAAGAGAGGTAAGAATAGGTGGGGAAGGAACAGGGTTATAGGTACATGGACAATTGTAAAGGTGAACAAAGGCTTCCCTTAATTTAGCCTTGACTAATTAGAGACACTCATGGCCATGACAGGACAATGCAGCTCCTCAGTTATCATAGGATTGTACTTAGACTGGTACAGATGAGGTTGGGGAGGAATACACAAATTGTCCCTTTGGAAAAGGGTTCTAGCTTTGCCCACTATCCAAGAGAAATTAAAGCAACAGCCACATGAAGGGGACTAATTCCAACAATGCCTAACGGACATTACTCTTTGATGGCAGGGTAGGAACTGAATATAATGTGGCTGTATTTGCTCTGGTGACAGCTGAGAGTGTTAGACTTGGAGTCAAGAAGACATGAGTTCAAATCTTGCCCAAGGTCACATGGTCAACATAAGTCAGAAGTGGGACTTGAAAATGGCTCTTGATGCTTTTTGTGGCCAGCTCCAGCCACTACACTGAACTGCCTCTCTATTGTTGAATAAAGGTAATCTAATTGCTGCTTTGGGAGAAGGAAGGAAGGAAGGAAAGAAGGATGGAAGGAAGGAGGGGAGGAAGAGAAGAAGGGAAAAAGGGAGGAAGGGAGGGAGAGTGAGAGGAAGGAAGGAAAGAAGGAAGGAAAGAAATCAAAGAAGGGATATGAGCTCTATTCAGGATGGAAGGGATGGTAATAACTGACAACACAGAGGAAACAGCTGCTCAATTTTTATTTCACTTCTCTTTTCTTTGCCAAGGAGACTAATCTTTTGACAAGAAAGGACAAATGAAAAGGGGCCCCAAGATAAATCAGGAGATAAGAGACAGCACTGACTGTCCTTGGTAAATTTATATCACCTGGTCCAGGTAAACTGCAGCTTCAGGTGCTAAAAGAACTGTTTATATGATGGACAACTTTTGAAGACTAGAAGTTGTGGAGGTGGTGCTGACCATGCATTGATAGAGAGGGTTTCCTCATCAGGTACTTCTTTATGCCAATGAAATCATGGATCTTATCTCTATACTTATTCAACTATGCACTGAGAAGAAAATTCTGACCTCTAGCACTCTTGACACTTTTCTTACAGCACCATGCCATATTTTTGTTTTTGCCCTTTGTTACCCATTTCCAGAGGGTCTCATATCCTGCATATGTCATTTCTTCAGACAACTACTGTTTTCCCTCCTCTTTAGAGCTGTTTCTGGACTCCCTCCAGTTTTTTATTGTCCTTTCTGAAATGTAGAGTCTAGAATTGAATGCTCCAGAAAGGAGATAATTAGGGTGGAGCATTTGTCACCTTTCTTATCTGGACGTTACGTACTTTATTGTACTCTAAGATTACAGATTATGGCAACCATACACAACTGCTGATTCATATGGAGCTTTTAACCCGCTTG